TAGGAATGAAAATACATATGTGAAAAGATGTTCACTTTAGCATAGCTTATAATGGCAAAAAATTAGAAACTATATGACTAGCAACAGGGAAGGCAGTAAATAAATGGAATACTAGGTATCATTAGAAATACTGGCATATACCTTATATACCAACATGGTGATGCCTTGGCTCATTGTTGGGTGAGAATGAAATAAGCTGTAGAATAGCACAGAGTGGATATGTGTGTATACGTGTTTTTTGCGGGGGAAGGGGCAGAGGAGGAAAGTTTGCCAAATTCTAAAAGTGCTTATTTTTGGTAATAAATAGATGATTTTTTACTTCCTGTTAAAAATACATAAAAATGACAAGTATTTAAAGCGCTAGGAGATCCTGGATTATAAGTACTATTTCTCAGAAGAGGTCTGAAGTATTCTTACTGGGATTTTGGGGTGTTGCTGAGTACCACATGCCTTAACCCCACCATTCAGTCTCTAACTGGCCGTGTGGCTTCAGCTCTCTGGGCTTGAGTTCCCCGTCAGGAAAATGAAAAGACGGGATTCAAGGATCTCTTAGGTCCCTTCCAGCCCTAATGGTTTGAAGGTTTTATGAATTCTCATCAGTAGTGGTTTTAAATGACTTAAGTTATTAAGCGATTGAGAAACTTCTTAATTCCTAAATGGATGATTATTTAATTGGATGATTTAATGGATGATTATTTAATTATTTTATCCAGGTCTTCCTTGCTTTTGCTCCTTGTTATATCCCTCCCCCTCCCCAACTAGATAAAGTAGCTTTATCCAGAAGCAGGCAGGAGACAGAGAGGGTGTACTTCGAACTGGCCAACTGTACTGTCTGGTAGTCATAACAGAAAAAAGTTTGGTAAGAAAGTTAAATTCAAGCTGCTGGTTTCAAGTATTTAATTTACTTATACTGTTTCTAGTATAAATAATAAATAGTATAAATAAAGTACTATTTATTTATACTGTTTCTCACCACGATTAACTAAGGTCTCTCCACTACCTACTAAACCTAAACCCCATTAACTATCTAAGGGATAAACACCTCCTCCTAAACACTATTCTGATGTGGACTTTCACCCTGGCCTTCGGATACACTCTAACCAACAATACACTCAAGCACACACACAACACTCTCCAGAAGCCTCTAAGAGACTCATAAGATGCTAACTGGAAATGTAGCTGTCAAAGAAAAAGGAAGGAGTCACCCAACTGCTCACTATCAGATAGTCCCAAGTGATGTCACTGCCATAACCCAAACTGATGGTGTAAGAAATCTGCAGTTATTTCACTACCTTATGTAATAGGGTGAATAGTGCCCCTCAAGAGATACATCCAAGTTTAGCCCCCGGTACCTGTGAAGGTGGCCTTGTTTGGAAACAGTGTCTATGAAGATGTTACCAGTTAACATGCGGTCGCTCCCGAGTAGGGTGGGCCCTGATCCAATATTAACTGGTATCCTTATGAAAAGACGAGAAGAGATAGGGAGAGAAGAATGCCACGTGAAGACAGAAAGCCACAGAAGAAAGGCAGTCACGTGAGGACAGACGCAGAGATGGAGTTTTGCTGCCACAAGCCAAGGAATGCACAGGGCTACAGAAGCTGGAAGAGATGAGGAAGGATCTTCCCCTAGAGCTGACAGAAAGAGCACAGCCCTGCTGACACTCTGAATATAGGCTTCTAGCCTCCAGAACTGTGTGACAGAATAAATTTCGGTTGTTTTAAGCCACCTAGTTTGTGGTACTTCGTAACAGCAGCCCTAGGGCCTAATACACCTTACTATTTCTCACCTGACATGTACCTTAGAAAGTAGCAAAACTAGCTAAGACCTCAAGCTGGCTGCCTTGCTCAACTCATTCATTCATTCACTAACAAATTAGCTTCCATAGATGATATCCTATACACGTTATTCTGTAACCTATTTTAGAATCTGGACATAATTCCTGACTTCTGACAGCCTCAGACACGAACTGCACTTTGAGGATCTAGACAAAAAGATCAATATGTGTGTGGTAACAACATAGACTCTACTTGGGTTGATTCCTGCCTCTATCACTTACCAGCTGTGTGAACTTGGGCAAAGTAGCCGAACCTTTCTGTGCCTCACTTTTCCCTCTCCCTAAAATGAGGCAACAATACTACTTACCTCATAAGTAATGAGAATTAACTAAGCTAATATTTGTAAAGTACTTAAACCAGTGCCTGGCATACCTGACACATTTAAATGTTAGCTATTGTTGTCAAATCCAAATTTTTACATGGTGAAATACCTGCACATTTAACAACATGTATTATAGGAAATTAAGAGAACTGAGACCTGCAAAGAGACCTCAGAAGTACTATAATTCGGCCTCTTCATCTTTTAGATGAACATGCTGCACTGGAGCACAGCCGCCTTTCCTATCTGACCCATGCGCCTCAAGTCCTGAAACCCTGGCCAGTTTCTCCGAATCTCCAGCACACAGATTTCTGTGCATTAAAATACAATGGAAAATGTTCCCTTCTGAAAAAGGGAGTTGTTTTTTAAAGTGTATAAAGCAATATCTGTGTATCTTAACATACTATTTTTTGAAACTGCACTGTTTGCTGGCAGTATCAATAGCTTTGATTTGGGGTATTTGATATGTCTGTATAAGAGGTTTCTGGAAAAATCTCATGCTGCCCTAGAGAAAAAGCACATATATCAATGTTTGTTTGACTGTGTAAAGTTCACTGTATAAGATCATATATTTGTTTTCATACAGAGCAAAAATGAAATTTAGACAACAATTCACAAAAGGATAACTTTTTGAGAAAAGGCAATTTGGTCAAAAGCATTATTTGATATTCTGGCTTCTATTCAAAGCATCCTCAGTGCCTGCTAAAAAAAATTCAACTTCCACATAACATGCGTATCATGTAACCTGTACTTAATACAAGCTCGAAAATATGATATAAAAGATAAGCTAGTAATTCCATCTCCAACCTATACCCCTCACCCCAGCTTTCCAATTTTAGTGGTGGCACCAAATCAACAAAGCTGTGTGACCAAAAACCTGAGTGTCAGTCCTAACTCCTCTAGCTACCTCTCTCATGCTACTGCCAATCCACGAATATGTATTGTCTGCTTCAAACATAGCTGGAATCTGACCTCTGATCCTCACTGCTGCACCCCAGGCCAGGCTGCCCTCATCTCTTGCCTGATCACCTCCTTGCCTCTAATCCATAGGCAGGAGGTGCGGACATGCGCACATCATCCCATCATGGTGTCACCTGCATCCCCACCCCCACTCAGCAGCCAGAGATCTTCCTAAAGTGTGAAATAGATAAGTCACTTACCTGCTTAAACCTTCAATGGCTTCCCACTGGCATCAGAACAAAATCCGAACCCTACCACGACCTATAAGGGGTACCTGGCCTGGGCTCTTCCTGTTCTCCCTGCTCCCTCGCTCTGCTCTCACTCTGTGCTCCAGCCCCACTTGGCTGCCTTGTTTCACATCTCACAGACAGACCAAACTTGCCAGGTCTCAGCGCTTGTGGACTTGTTTCTCCTGTAGGGAGTGCTATACCCTAGACATGCATATGGCTACCTCCTTTCTACCTTTCAAGTCTAAACTCAAATGCCACCTCCTCAGACAGTCCCTCTTTGTACAATGTACACGACCAACTCTCCTGTTCCGGACAGTCTCTGCCACATGATCATATCTGGTCTTTTCTACGGCATCTATTAGTATTTGAAACAATCTTATTAGGCTGTCTACGTGTTTGTCTACTCCTGCTAGAAGTAACTTCCTTGATATTAGGCTTTTTGTCTCGTACTGTACAATGTTTCATCTTTAGTATCTAAAAGAATTCCCTAGTCAATATTTCGGTCTGACTGACTGGTCATTTGCTATTTTTCTTCAGAAAATTCTGCATTTAGCATTCTGATGTTTACTTATATATATATATATATAAAATAAATCATATCTACATATCGTGGAATCTTTTTGGTATGAATTTAGTATGGCTTTACTTTAATATTGTGCATATACTGTACCCTTAATGGAGTCCCTGGGTGGTGCAATGGTTAATGTGCTCAGCTGCTAACCGAAAGGCTGGAGGTTCGAGTCTACCCAGGGGCACCTCGGAAGAAAGGCTTGGTGATCTATTTCTGAAAAATCAGACATTAAAAACCCTATGGAACACAGTTCTACTCTGACACATGTGGGGTCACCATGAGTCAGACTAGACTACAGCAACCAACAACAAATGGTTATATGTAACAAAACCCTAAGTTCTCTTCTTTAAATATTTTCCCATAGAAATATTTTTGGGGGATATACAGTTCTATGAGTTTTCACACATGTATAGATTTGTCACTACCACCACAAACAGGATACAAAAAATTTCATCCTTGTCCGAAAAAACGCTTGTACTACCCCTTGTAGTCACACCCTCCCTGCCACTACAGTTTTGTCTTTCGAGACTGTCATATAAATGGATGTAACCTTCTGAGACTGGCTTCCTTCATTTAGTAGAGTGCTCTGAGGGTCACCCAAACTGCTGCAAGCATCAATAGCTTGCTCCCTTCCATTGCTAAGTAGTGTTCTGTTGCATGAATGTGCCTGTTTGTTTATCCACTCGCCCACTGAGGGACTCTGGACTGTTTTCCAGACAGCTAGAAGGTCAACTCCTATCTGGGTGGTGGTCGGCAATGTTCTTGTCGTTGCTCAGCCTCTCGCTACTTACCGGGCAAAAACAGTGCCACTCCCACCTGGGAAGGTGTAGGGGTGCTGCTTCCGGAAAACGTGTCCCACACGACTGCAGGGGATGATCTCCAGGCTGCCGCCGCACTGCCACACTCGGAACGATATCTCTGCAGGGATGAATGAGACACTGGTGACCACAGAGCCTTCCTAACCAGGGTGCAGGAGCTCCCACTGCACCTCACCCAGGGACTCCCACAGGTGCTCAGCTGCTGAAGGAGACCCGTGCAAGAGAGCACACCTCTCTTCAGAAGACGGTCCTGAACTCTCTGCCATGGAGACATTCCACATACCCTGGGTCTTTGGACCCCATGGTACAATCAAGAACCTATGCTCAGCGGAAATATTTTTCAGATACAGACTACAAACCTTGAGACAATAGCAATTTTTTTTTTTGGTCTATTTTGAATATAAAGACCTCTTGGCATAAGATCCTGCACATCCCAGTAACGGCACAACTGTCGACTGATGAAACGCTTGCCCTGAATTCTTCATGAGCTTCAATCAAGAGTCTTATATTTGCACTTGCTTAGTGTCCACACTGTTAGGAAATGGAACACTAAAGTGCATAAACATCCAGACTCAAAAGACATTTAACATCCACAGTTAAGCTTTAATGTTAAAATAACAGGCAACCATATATGCCATCTTCCTCTAAAACTTATTTCAAATTGACTGAGCACCAGAGCATATCTGGCTTTTTCTGTCTAGGAAAACAAAAATCTCTCCCTCAAATGGCCAAAATTATGTTTGTCCTTGTGCATTTGCAGGCCTCAAGCCACCTGGCAAAGTTCACAGGCACCTTATGGATTATGGTAGCAACTGTGGACGACCAACTTATTGACAGATACCTCAAAGCTGCCCACAGACACTTACACATCAGTAAGTAATGACCCCTGAAAAGGCTACTGTCCACCTTGCTTCAATACAGGATTTACCCACAGAGGCAATGAGCCAGAACAGTACCAGGCACCACCTCACCAGCTGTCTTAATTACCTAGTGCTGCTTTAACAGCAATACTATAAATGGGTGGCTTTAACAAACAGAAGTTTATTTTCTCACAGTTTAGGGGGCTAGAAGTCTGAACTCAGGGTGCCGGCTCCAGGGGAAGGCTTTCTCTGTCGGCTCTGGAAGAAGGTCCTTGTCTCTTTTGAGCTTCTGCTCCTGGGTGATCTTCATATGGCTTTGCATCTCTCTTTCCTCATCTCTGCTCTGCTTGCTCATTTAATCTCTTCTGTATCTCAAGAGATTGACTCAAGATACACCCTACACTAATCCTGTCTCATTAACATAATAAAGACAACCCATTGACAAATGAGATTATAACCACAAGCATACCAACTCACTGCTGTGGAGTCGATTGCAACTCATAGTGACCCTATAGGACAGAGCAGAGCTGCCTTATAGGGTTCCCAAGGGGCGGCTGGTGGATTCAAACTGCTGACCTTTTTTCTTTGGTTAGCGGCCAGAGTTTTTAAGCACTGCACCAATGGGGCTCCAACCACAGGCACAGAGGTTAGGATTTACAACATATATTTTTGGGAGCACAGTTCAATCCATTATACTGCTTAATCACACACTCTGGTCCTATGCACATGCTGGGCAATATGTGCCTTTCATGGCACATAGCACAGGGCGCCTGGTGACCAGGTACCTGCCAAATCAATGCCCTTTCTGAATGACTTGAGCCTGAATCAGAGGTTTGGCTGAATGCAAGAAACCAAAGCCAAACAAAAAAATTAAGACATAATAATTGACATATCAAAGGCTAGATTTTTTTTCTGACAGATTTCATAAGATTTGTACACAAGGACATTTTCCTCTGTATTATTTAAGAGCTCGAAGAACACGCTGGGGAGACTACACATCAAAGACAAAATCTATACAGTTAGCAGTCACTGTCACCCAAAGTGGACTGATCAGAAATAAAGTGGAAATCACCTCCAACTATAAAGTGAGTGGATGCTAGATACTCTGAGACAAGCTGTTGGGTTGTGAGAAAGTGAACCACTGTACAATGTGAGGCTCATCACACCTGCTTAGCGTCAAAGAGCATCCCTTTCTCCTCTGATGTAGCAAGCTGACGTCAGAGGAAAACCCCACTTATTGGAGCTGAGTAATGCACACAGCTGTTCCAGACCCGAATGACCAATTCCTTTGTCATAACCTTCCAAGCATCCGTAGGGAAAGGATTCTGACTTTCCTTTTAGTGTCCACCAAAACTGGGAGTAACAGTTTTCTCTGTATTTCAGGAAATAAAACTTAAATATACATTTGTCTAAGTAGAAAATTAAAAATCCAAGATTAGGAAGGCCCCCTGTCTTCTACACAGAGAGTCTGTTAAACCAGTAAGGGATCCTTTCAGAGATCTGCTGGAGATGTTTAAGGCTAAGCACAATCACAGCTATAGTAAACTTTAATTTCTCATGGACCCTGTAACTGGGGGAAGATTACTCCACAGAACTTGCGGCTTTTTAACTAGGTAGTCTGTACCAGCATCTTAGCAGTACTAATTACCTGCTACCTCAGCCCTTCCATCTGTACAATGGGAACAAAGACAGTGCCTCATAAGGCTGGAGGAAAGCACCAGCTGAGATGATGCAATGCAAGCACTTAGCAAGCATCCTGACAATGTGCAGGCATGTGAAAACATTTCTTTTCCCCAAGTAGCCTACTCCTACATCTCACAAGAGCTTCGGATCAGTCCCTTTTCTTTTTAACTGCATTATATAAGAACTTACAGGAGTAGTCAGGAAGGTGGGACGCTCTGGTAGTTTTGGTGGGGCAACTTGAATCTGTGGCTTCCAGGATATTATTTGGAATTTTAATTACTCAGACATCACTGCACACCTCCCCTCCCAACACACATACATGCACACACACACAAGCCACTTGTTCTTGATTAACAGGTGGTGGTGTGTGCACAGCATCTAGGAAAAAAAGTCATAGGCAGTGCTGAGAAGAGACAAAGATTCACATTACGACTTCTTTTTTCTAAATTTTACTTATTTTGTTTTTTGCTGCTTAGAATATACACAGCAGAACATACTCCAATTCAATGGTTTCTACATGTATCATTTAGTGACACTGATTAAATCTTCAAGTTGTACAACCATTCTAATCCTCCTTTTCTGAGTCGTTCCTCCCTCATTCACATAAATTCACTGGCCCCTAAAGTTCCTGTCTAATCTTTTGAGTTGCTGTGGTCAATTTGATCCCATATAGATAGTTCATAAAAGAGCACAATGCTTAAGGCAGACGTTTTTTTACTAGTTTAAACTAAACTATTGTTTGGTTTTAAGATGACTTCAGGGGATATTTTTGGTTTAAGGTTTTAAAGATTGTCTCAGGGCAATAGTTTCAGGGGTTCATCCAGCCTCCATGGTTCCAGAAGTCTAGAGTCCATGAGAATCTGAAATTCTGTTCTGTATTTTCCCCTCTTTGATGAGCTCCTTCTATGGAGTCTTTGATTAAAATGTTCAGTAATGGTAGCCGGGCACCATCCAGTTCTTCTGGTCTCATGGCAAAGGAGGTAGTTGTTCACAGAGGCAATCAGTCATACAATCCATATCCTTCTCCTATTCCTCACGCTCCTTCTTCCTCTGTTGCTCCAGGTGAATACAGCCCAATTGTTGTGCCCTGGATAGCTGCTTGGACTTTTCTTGCTGGAACTCTTGTGCCTGCTTAACCTTTAAACTTGAGTAGGCTTCATCAGAGCGACCTTATCAGAGCCAGTGGAGGGAGGGAGAACCTGAACTGAGCGAGGCAGGGTGCTCCAGCCTTCCCCATCCACGCCTTGTCCCTGACTTGGCCCCTTCTTCAGGGCCTACTTACACTTCTTCCACAGCACAACTACATAAATATAAAAACCAGACCAACAAAACACCAGATGAGTAAAAAAAATTCTCTTCCCTCTCTCTGGTCTCTGGGTGAACCACCTCCTTGTGTATTTACATCAACACTCTTTCTACATCATGACAAAATACGGTTGCCATGGAATATTATTCCTGGCTGATTTCTGTTCAATCCCTGGCCCATGTCATCCACCTAATCAGTGCTCTCAGCTAACACTGCACACATCTGATACCACACCTTGTTCTCAGAAAGTGCTTCCCCGAGTGACGCCCTGTTCTATGAGGCCTTCCTGACAGGGTCCCACTGTGCTTCCTCAGAGGAATCACACTCCCCGAACTGATGTACATGGAGCAAGGCGGGCTCAGCATTCTCTTTTGGAGGTTAACAATCCTTCTGCAGCCCTCCATGCTCAAGTGACTTCAATCCAGGCTACCTAAAGGTCAAGCATCATTTAAAAAACTCAAAAACAAAAAGCAGTTTGACCTATAGTTCCCCACCCCCACAATGTAGTAACTGGTCTAGAAGATGCTTTCAACACCAATCTCAGACAGAGAAATTCTCCAATGATTAGACGTTGTCACTGAGTTTAACATCATAAAATGATAGAAAAATAATAGGCTAGGGTGCTTTCATTTTATTTTTTAACTAATAAAACGAACTCCGATATCTAAGTCTCTGTTACAAGTAAATACTACTAAAAATGACAGTGGCATCATTTTTTTCCTCCCTTTCCTTCTTGCCCTCTTCCTCCCAGGGCACATTTACCCAACAGAAATGTAATTTAGGAATTAGTGCAGAATCTCACACACTTGAAATCAAAATGAAACAACTGAAGTGAAATAAACAAAACCATTTAAAAAAAACAAGGTGTTTTTTTAATCTTCTATGCAGTAAATATGACACGGCTACCAATACAGACCGAAGTCTGTAAAATTTCATCGTCCTTAAGTCTGAGTAAAAATGACTTACATGGATATTTAAAAAAAAAGTCAAACCAAATTAGAACCATTAGCAAAAGTGGTCAAGAAGGGTTTACATGCCAAGGCCTCTCCGTCTTACCTGATGTCCACAATGACAATTCAGTCACACTGCCCAGGTGTTCACTCCCCACTCCACATGGCTGAAAACGAACCTCGGGCTGCAAACACACTCCCCATATTTGCAGCCTGCTTTCCAAACTCTCAGATTCGAATGATATTAAAAAGTTTGGACTTTCTTTTAAGACATGAACTGTATTCTGGCACTCTCTACTCTAATTTAGACTGACACACTATATTGCCCAACTCGAGGCACTTTTCAGAGTGAAAGGCTGCTATTTATAATTATGCTGAGATAAATTATGCCAGAATGAATGGTCACTTTAATTCCTTTTTAATTTTTTTTTTTTTCTAATTAGAATTCTGCATTCCACAAACTCTTGCCAAATAATCTTTCCAAAGGTTCAATTTTTCATTTATACCTCTCTTGGGTGGGCAGGAAAGGAACCCTGTTCAACAGGATTTGAAGTTCTCTGTTGGCCACTACTGAAATGTTGTGAAGAAACAGACTCATACATACCCAGGTTTTCTCCTCCCCATACGTCCATCATCATATCGTATTTCCCTAGCTCTTCGAAGTAGAACTTATCCATCACGAACAACCCACCAGCAATCATAGGGGTTCTAAGGGGGCAGAAAAGTGGGTGGGAGGGAAGAAAGGAAGAGGTTGAAGGTCAAAATTAGATCGTAAGCCCCCTTACACCCTTGGTTCCTGAACTACAAGTTGACCTTAATAATAACCTCAAAGCCATGGCTCTTTGCTCAGAGTTCAAGATGCCTGTCCCTTTGCTGGACCACTGTTATTCTCAAATGCCAAGCCCACTTTCCCCACACCGACATTCCCACTTAAGCACCGTGCTGAACAGCGGCTCTCCCACCAATGCAGGACAGCTTTGTGAAAAAGAGTGTGCGCTCTGCAGCTAGGTTGTTTGGATTTGAAACACTTGCCAACTTGGCAACTTAACCTTTCCGGGCCTCGGCTTCCCCACAGGGTGATTATAAGGATTACAAAAAATAATACTCATAAAGCACTCAAGACACTCAGGAACTGCTCAGTAAATGTTAGCTATCATTGTCATCATATGGATCAGCGTTCTCATCTGTCAAATGGGACCCATCCCATTTGTCACTTCCTCACCACCTGGAGAAGGGGTTAACAACATAGTGTTTACTGTGCCCCCGCTCTGTCCTAGTAGTGATGCTGTGAGAATTAAACATAGTGTGCTAGGTGAGTGTTTTGCTCATAGTTACTCAACATTCACAACACTCTGTGAATGTAAATAACTACAAGCAAGTATATTTCAGGGCTAGGTATTTTGTAAAGTCATCCCCTTTATCTGTGTGTGACAATTTACCCTAACTAGGTACCCTACTGGCTAGAGAAAGCATCCTGACCCCCAGCCATAAGTATTCCTGCTGCACAGTCAGGCAACCTTCACATGAGGCTAACGTGCTGAGCACAAGCAACACCTTCTGTGGGAGAACAGGAGAGTGGAGTTCTGCTGGGAGGACTCACCCTTGTGGCCCATCTCTATTTACAGTGTCATGGAAACCAACTGGAGACCCCACTCTGCTACTGAAAATGCTCCACATTAGACACAAGAGAGAACACACAAAACTGGCAATCTGCTCTGCAAATACATAACAGACTTCATCTGAGAAAAAAGTCTCCAAGCGCTTTGTTCAATGGCCTAGTGGCAGGAACTCTCTCCAAGTTAGAATACGGGGAGACAAAGGGGCAGAGCTCAACTTGGTCCACAAGGCCCGGGGTTCCTGCCTTAGAGCACCTAAAGGGGTGGCACTTACTTTATGGGGGCCACTGGGTTCCCTTGACGGGCTCGTCTCTGCTCAGGGGTCATGTAATCCCATTTGAACACCAAATTCCAGTCAAAACCTGTGGTGACAGAAAAGAAACTCAGGACAGTGACAACAGAGACTGGCCGCGTGTGTTCCTGAACGCTGTCCCTGACAGCTTAGAAACACCCGATATTTGCACAGGACTCACTGAAAAACAAAAGAATGCAAAAAGCAAGAAAGATCTGGAGGGGAGAGAGCGAGACCAGGGCGTGCGGCCAGGACAGGGAGATCAGAAACAGGAGCGCACACTTAAATCTCCTTTCCCCAACAAGCTTGCCCAAAACAGAAGCTGTGGGTTAGAGTTCTCTAAAATTACAATGTACAAGAATAAAGTAAAATACAAGGAGAATTGGGATCTGTGCAGTGACAGTGACACATCCAAGGCTGAGAGGAGACTAGAAGAAGGGATGACCAAGAGGAAAATCTGCCTCTGTGTCTCCAGTGTTGCCCCAGGGAAAGGGCCCACTAAGGAGGGCACAAAAAGAGTACTGGTTCCCTGGGCCTGCAAACCTCCATCTCTTAATTGGACGGAGGGAGGGAGTGTAAAACCTTTCAGATAAAAATGACCAAAAGAAGCTGCAAAAGTGGGCACAATGACCTTCCATCTTTGGACACTTTGGCACCTGCCCCATTCCGCTTTAGAATCCACAGGCCACTCTGGACAGAAGAGTGTATGCCTCCTCGTTCTTGGACTCGGTTCCTGGCATGCGCACAATCCTGGCATCAAGCCTCCAGGCACACAGCTGTCCCAGCTTTGCTCTTATTCATGAGGACACCTGTGTGGTGCACTCCAGACATGCCAGCAAACCCTGTGACTTGTGGTACTGCCTTGCCAGGGGTATGACGGCCAAGCCTCGTCACTACAGTCTGTTCTACCTTTCAATTCTGTGCCTCTTGAACTCTCTGCCTCAGGCTTTTTGTCAAAGGGCTTTTGCAATGCCTGAGTCTGGAGTCTGCACCTGCAAGCTCTGAATCCAGGGTGCCACATGCTGGGCTGTCCCAGTGCACACAGCCTGAGTAAGGCAGGACCCTGGTGGAGTAGGCTCAGGCAAAGGGGGTGAGTTGGCTGGCAGGCTGGGCACCAGGACGGAGACAGTGAAGGAAACGCACCCAGAGGAAACCAGTGCAGGCTAAGGCTTCACAGGAGAGCACGCACTCCCCTACCCATGGGCAGACAACATCCCGCAAACCAGAAAAACAAAGTCCTGCTCTTTACAGAGGATGGGAAAGCCTCAAACGGCTAATTGACATGACAGTACCTTTATTTTTTTTGAAGTCTGTTGCTATTTTTATTATTGATTTTATGTATTTGGTCCAAAGAGACTAATATAAGATTAAAACGGTGGTAAAAATATCATCCCTGGTTTTTGTCTAAAGGGCTTTTATAAAATGCTCTTGGAGCGAGTTTGGTCTGTTCCTGACCCACAGAAGACCTGTGCCCTCCAAAAGAGCACTTCACGTCTCATATCTGCTCTGTCAGAAAAAGGGCCCACGGAGTCTCAGCTCTTCCTGATACTGGGGAGGACTTCTAGATGTTCTACACAAAAGCTTTCTTGATAGGAAAGGACCTGCTCTCTGCAAAACCCCAAATATCTTTACTTCTCATCATTTGTCATAATCTTTCCAGAATGTTCACGTTTCCCAACACTGGTCCCCTGACCATGATTCCCCTCTTGCTCAGGCCTCTGTCACCATCACGGCACACACTGGTGCAGAGCTGACGTCACGTCAGGCACTGCTCTCAGCACTTCCCAGGTCATGACACCTTCAGTCTCATAACCCCCACGGAGGCAGGCACCACTGTGACCGCATTTCTCCGGTAGGGATGCTTAGGGGCAGAGGGGTGAGATGACCTACCCCTGGGTGACTCGGCCTGAGAGGCGGCTCTGCAAGCTGAGGGAGGGGCTGGGCCAACCTACCATGTAGAGGACCATGGGCCTGCAGCTTGCTGAATGGCCCCAGCATTCTGTCTTTTAAGGTTGGTGCCTAATTTTATAGTTTTGCAGTCTTCTTTTTTGATGTTAGACTGTTAGCTGACCCTTCATCTGTATGTATGTCTGGAGCAGTCCATTTGCTTCTAATTAGCTTGAAATGTTAAGAGGTAGGAAAGAAAACCTGTTTTTTACATAAAGACACTTGGATGCTGAGTAGTTGGGAGAGTTCACTGACATTGGGCAGGTGAGCACCACTGGGCTACTTTTAATGAGTGAATTACAAACACATACGGCAATGACTGGCAGCTTTCTGTTTCTTAGAGCAGTCTTTGCTCACTTCTTGGATCTCAGCTGTGTTTTTAACAGGTGAGGCTGCCAAGCAGCCAAATGTCAGACAGTGAAGCATTTATTATTAGGCTAGTAGAGTCGATGGGGCCTGTGTCTGCAAAGACTCTGGAGGACCAGTGACAGCTAGTCAGAGCCAGACAGAACACAACTGGCCCCTCGCGAAGTGCTGGGCAGTCTGACACCCGGGCCCCAACCAGCACTATGAAACACCTGTATGAGACCAGCAATTCCATGTGTGGCTGGGACCCCGAAGGCCCACAGGTCTCTTTAGGGCTCCGAGAACTCCGAACCACTTTTATATTTATACTAAGATGTTATATGCCTCTTTCAGAAGCACACAGTGGGGTGCTCCAGAGGCATGTGATGTGTGATGCCGTCACTCTGGTAAATAGTGGAATGCACACTTGCATGTTCTGTGTTTTAGTGATTTCTCAATGCTCATTTCTAGTTACAGTACATGTTGATAGATACAAACACATAAGCAAAAGCTCTCTGGGGCTTTCAATCATTTTTTATGAGGGAAAAGGGTATATCAGACCAATTACTTTGGGGATCCATGGAGGGTGGGTGTGAGAGGGAAAATGTGGTCATTCAGACAAAAGATGACCTGGATATGAGGTAGGACAGCAGTGGTGGGGACGGGGGGTGGGGGGTGGGGCAACAGCAAAGCCATATGTAAGGAGTAGAAACCAGCAGGATTCTATGGAGACAAGGGGTCAGGGATGACTCCAGGGGTCAAACTGGGTGATCAGGTAGATGGCCACGCCACCAAAAGACCCAGGATATCAGAGAAGCGCTGGTGTGAAGACAGGAGGCAAACACCAGCTCTGGGGCCCTTCACTCAAATCCTTCACTCCACAAGCTCCTCCACACACTGCAGCCCAGCGTTGGTGTCTCCTCAGCCCAGATCACCACAGGCACAATTATTTCTGACAAAAACGACACCACACTGGTTACTGAGCTAAACGTTTCACAAAAGCAACAGAAGGGCAAAGAGAAAAGAGAAGAACAAGACACACAAGTTCTGTAAGAGAGGCTGCTTTTCTCCCTCTCTATGAAATGCTCCTTGTCAAGAACACAAATGCTCCTTACTCGTGTGCACACACTGTCATGTGAGACCTGGGGGCACACTCAGACACACATGTAGACAGTGAGGGCAGAGCAGGCTAACCCTCGCCCCATACTAACACCTACCGCCTTTCAAGTCAGCGGATGCCCCCACATACTGGAAGTTATCCATGTTAATGACATCAATGATAGGTGACACAACCCGGGTCCTGTCCTAAAAAATGGAGAGAGAAAAGATAAGAACGGTCATCCCACACACAAACCACCCCACAAAAAGAAGGAACTTTTACTAGATAGTTACAGTATAGAACCAACAAATATACTTTCTATAGCACTTTCATTAAGTCTACACTCACCCCAAGAAAGCTCTTTCTTATCACGCAAGAAAGAATGTAAATAAAACAAGCAGAAGGCAAGAGAAATGACAAAAGGCTAAACGTAATATTAATAATATTGTTTCTACCTGCTACCCTAGGCCATTTGGTGGTCCCAACCCTCCCATCAAAGCACCTTTGCTCCTCACCCTCATAAAGATATATTACATTCTGGGTGAGAGATGTTGAGAGTGTGACTGCATGGAGTGAATCACTGGCTGAGAGAAGATGGCCATGTGTCCCAGATGGCTCAGGCATTATCCACCTGACTGAAGGCAAGGACCACACCTGCATTTCCCAGGCCTCTGTGTTCCTTACACGTAACATTTACAACCACAGGGCAGCTCTCATTTAGATACAATCTAAGCTCAACCTTACTGAAATATCAGTCATTTGTTAGCTGCAGTCAACTTCAGGGATGAATATAGCAAGTATGAACTCATTGCTAAGATACCTACCTACACAACAAAAAGTAGGAATAGATTTCTACCGGCACGTGGGTCTGCATGCAATGTGTAGAGTATCAATACAATTACAGCAGAAGGTAAACCGAATAAAATGAAGACTTCCATATTCTCAGTCTGCCTAGAAATGATTTTTTTCCTAGAATGGGCCATGTCTTTGTGGCATGTTGTCATTGTTCTGTTAATAGTGTGTGAACACAGGCCTTTTATCTTTTCTAACTCCTTTCAATTTGAATGACTGAGTGGTGAGAGACATAGTGAGACTGCCTCATGCTGACCTTCAACAAAGGGGTAAGTGCTTTTCTTGAGCCATTTAAAGAACACTTTAATAGCCAGAAGAAAGACTTAAGAAAAACAAAATTACTAAAAGAATCAAGCAGAGGTAAGAGTGTAATAAATCAGGGGAACAAACTAAGAGAGTACCATGAAGTCCCAACAACACCCAGGTGTAAATTTTCAAGAAAAATTAAACCATGTGGCCCACTGAGAGCAGAGAACACAACAGGGCAGAAAATAAGGCACTTAAATGGTTGGTGGTTTAAAAATCTTTCATTTGTTGAGTACCATACGCCTGACATTGTGCTAAGCTTTAAGGATACCAGAATCAGTAACAGAGATTTCTTGCCCTCAAAGAGCTCATGGTCTGGCAGGGAGCCAAATTAATCAATGCTAATCTCTACAGCAAGAGTGCTATGCTGTCATGCTCAGGATGATACTACATATGCCATGTACTTGAAAAGGAAAGTATAGCCTGACCAGGGAGCTAGAAGAGCAGCACTAAACCTAAGACTGGGGGACCTGAAATGGGGTTGCATCAAGGACCTTAAACAGAAGGACACTGCTAGCTGGGCCAGTCCCAAGGAACAGACCTTTACAAATCCCATTCATTCATTCATTCAACTGGCAAATATTTATTCAGCTTCTACTCCTTGCAAGGCACCGTGCTTAGTAACGGGGGCTCTCTCAGAGGGCTTAGCTGCCAGATGTGGGCCTTTCCATCTAAAGAAAGAGATGTCCATTTGCTGCACAGCTCGCTGTGTCTAAACAAATTCCCAACGGGTTCTATGGAGAGACGAGTAGAACCAGTCCAACATGCAGAGTTATTGGGAGGAAGCCCAGAACACTAGCTAACCCTCAAATTCTGATATCCTTTGTGTCCATGGGGCAAGAACGAACCCAGCAAGGACAGTGACAAAGGGGAACAAAATTCTTCTTCCTGGCTCAGTCTGGACCCGGGCATGGGGTTCAAAGACTATACTCAGCTTTACTTCTAAGGCCACTTCATTTATTTTTGTTTCTTTGGATAAGACTAGAATTGGTGAAAATAAACATCCCCAATACTTTTTTTTTCCATAATTTTTGGTGTGTGTGTGTGGGGGGTGTTTTAAATAGTCCTGAGAGTCACACTGCAGAAGAAAGTGGCCTTTCCAGGCTTTACCACCACACTCACAGCTTTTGTGTTGGCTATGCTCTACTGGGAGGCAGCCTGGTAGGAGGAGAAGTCACCTGGTGCATATAAGGCAGCCAGCATATAGTTAGTACTCAATAAATGGTACTTACTATGCTTATCAAAAATACTAGTAACCTGTGGTTATTTAGTTATTCATGACTCACTGTTCCTCAACTGCCTTCTCTTTTGCTACAACTTATTCATTCTGTACTTCTATAGCACTTTCATTAAGTCTACACTCCTCACTGCAAATAAGCTCTTTCTTAGTAGGAAGGACAGAAGGTAAATAAAACAAGTAGAAGGCAAGAGAAATGACAAAAGGCTAAATGCAATTATTAGTGGTATTGTTTCCAGAACACAAAAGGCGCTCAATGTGTAGGCATGGCTCAAGCCCCGACATCGTTCAACCAGTCACCCTGTGATCACCATACCCCGCCCCCTACGCCCACCAAGCCCTCCTGTGAATAGGCCGAAAGCTGGGCCGGTAGTTCTCAATGTGACGGTAGCACCACTGGGGGTGATGAACCTGCAGCTCTCCCTGAGAGCAGAGAGGATGGCCAAAAGAGAGGCTTCCCCAGCACTCCTCAGGTATGAGCAGGAAACACACTGCACTTAATAGGCACCAGGCCTTCCCTAAGCATTGGCCGCTGTTAAGCTGAGAATTGAAAAGCTGCAGGCAATAAGGAAGATCCTTCTAAGAGAATAGCTGCCTTAAACGACTCAAGGTTTCACCAGCCACTGGTGGTCCTTGCCTCCTACTTGTGACTTTCTTCCCTAGCGATAGATTCTTACAGTGAATAAAATACTCTTTGAACAAATGATCCAGAAGGACTGTTTCCTCTCCAGCATCAAGGAAAGCCACAGAAGAGCCCGCATCCCCTCCCTGGGGCCCTGCCTCACCTCAGCCACCCTCTCAAGCAGGGGCTCCAGCCAGTGCTCGTTGCACTCACAGTGACTATCCAGGAACGTCAGGACCTTGGCTTGGGCAGCATCAGCCCCACGTACCCGTGAGCGCATCAAGCCTGTGGAAGAGAATTCAAAAGCCCATCAGGGGAGGCAGCCTGCAGTGCCCGAGAAAAGGACAACAGAGCACACACCCAGCCTCTGCACCTACACCAGCCCCTCCCAGCTGTCAGCCCTCTGCCAGGATGATTTTTGTTTTTTAAAAGCAATTGGATGAGGGGGAGGACAACCTTCTAAGAACTACAGTATTCTGAAAAATGCTTTTACATAAGTGAAGTCTCCTTTATCAAGCAACTGTAGTGAGGAGCTTTTTAAACCCCTTTCCTCTGAAACAGTAACAGAGTTTCCTAATTAACAAAGCTAAGAAAGGTGTCACCCAGACACTTGAAATGCTAACGGTGCTGACTTTAATGGTGATAATTTAATGGTAATGGTGTTGCAAATCTTTGCCTTCTAAAACTTATCACAAATAATATAAATGACAAAGTGCAGCTGTCTGGCTTTTACACAAAATTAGTTACACTATTGGTCAAATTATACAGCCTATATACTTGTGATCTGTTAATGATATACATTCTTCATTATCACACAAAGTCTTACTATAAACAGTATATTTATCCCTGCATGTGGTCATAAATGGCTTTTGCTATACATAAAAAACCAAACCAAACCAGTTGCTGTTGATTCCAACTCATAGCGACCCTATAGGACAGAGGAGAACTGCCTCATAGGGTTTCCTAGGAGTGGCTGGTGGATTTAAACTGCCAACCTTTTGGTTAGCAGCCAAGTTCTTAACCACTATCCCACAGGGTTCCTGGGTTTTATATATGAAGATGAGGTTACTATTCACAATCAATGAGGACAAGTAATTTAAGTTCTTTTTACACAAAAGTTTGGAATTTGAATCCTTCCAAGTTAGAGGGAGAAGCCCAGGTGGCATGGTGGTTAGGTGGCATGGTGGTTAAAGTGCTCAGCTGCTAACCAAAAAGTTGGCAGTTTCAACCCACCAGCCACTCTGTGGGAGGAAGATGTGGCAGTCTGCTTCCATACAGATTTACAGCCTTGAAAACACTAAGGGGCAGTTCTACTCTCTGTCCTACAGGGTTGCTATGGGTCAGAATTGACTTGACAGTGATGGGTTTCATTTGGTTTGGTTTAAGACAGAGGTGCTTGGTAAACACCTCAGTTCTTCCACAGAAACTCCAGAAGGATCATATTTAGGAAGACAGGCTGTCTCAGGACTAAAGGATTCACCCAGAATTAATGGCAAATCCAAACATACACATCCTAGCAAAGTACAAAGACAAACCTACACAAATTCAAAGTGATCAGCCAGTAACTTAACTGCTCAATAGAACAAAAGTCAACACTCTATTTAGAGGAAGATAACAGAATCCACTGTCTCTAAAGCATACCATCCACAATATTCATTAAAAGATAAAAAATTATGAGACATGAGAAGAAACAAGAAAACATGATCCATAACTAAGAGGTAAAAAAAAAAAAAAAAACCAATAGAAACTCACCCTGAGATGACCCAGATGTTGGAATCAGCAGAGGATTTTAAATCAACTATTATAATCATGGGGGCCCTAGTGGCATAGCGGTTAAGCATTTGGCTGTTAACTGAAAGGTCACTAGTTTGAATCCACCAGCTGCAACTTGGAAACCGTATGGGGCAGTTCTACTCTGTCCTATAGGGTTGCTAAGAGTTGGAATCGACTCGATGGCAATGGGTTTTTTTTAAATTATTATAATTATGTTAAAAAAATCAAAGGAAACTGATCATAATAGGTGAAGAGATGGCAAATTTCGGCAGAGAAAGATGAAAATTCTAGAACTGAAAAATACAACTTTAAAATGAATAATTCACTGATTGGGCTTAACAGTAAGTTGGAGATATTGGAGGACAAATGAACTGAAAGATAGACCAATATAAATCAATCTATATAATGAGCAAAGTGACAAACTATAGGGGGAAAAAAAAAAAGCCTAAGTGATCTATGTGCTAATATCAAATGGTATAACATACATGCAACTGGAGTCCAAGAAGGGGAAGAAAGAAAAAATGAGGCTGAAAAATAATACATAAGGCAATAAAAGGCTGATAATTTCCCAATGTTGATGAAAAACATCATCTTCTATATTCGAGGGGACAGCAAACCCCAACAGGAAAAATATAAAGAAAACCAAATTTAGGCACATCATAGTCACACTGCTGAACACCAAAGACAAAGTGAAAATATAGAAAGCAGCCAGAGGAAATGACTCAGAACACACAAAAGAACAACAATACAAATGATGATAAAATTATAAACAGAAAAAGAGAGTCCAGCAGATACTGAAATGACATTTGTAAAGTGCTGAAAGAAAATTGTTCACTCGGAATTCTATTCAGAGAAAATATTCCTCAATAATGAAGGAGAAGTAAAGACTTTAGATAAACATAATCTGAGAGACATCATCACCAGCAAGCCCGTAAGAAAGGAAATACTAAAAGTGTTTTGGCAGCTGAAGGGAAATGACAATAGATAAAAACTCATATCTACAGAAAACAATGAAGATACTGGAAATGGTAGATATGAGAATAAAAATTTAATAGTCTATACATACTTCCTTAAGTTCTTTAAAATATAACGGATCATTTAAAAGAAAAATTTTAACACTGTATCATGGGGCTTATAACATATGTGGAAGAAAAACTTACGATAGCAATAATATTTAGAACAAGGAATAGGGAATGGAATTAAAACTATTACAAGATTCTCACATTTTATGTAAAGTGGTATGATACTGACTCTAAGTACACTGTTATAAGCTAAGAAGGTACACTGTAATTCTCAGAGCAACCGCTAAAAAAAAATGTTACAAGAATTAAAATAGAGTATTAAAAATATAAGCAATCAATCCAAAAGAAGACAGAAAAGTAAGAACAGAGGAACAACAACAACAAAAAAGGACATATAGAAAACATATAGCAAAATAGTAGGCCCAAGATCAACCATATCAATCATTATATCAGATGTAAATGGACTAAACACTCCAAATAAACAGCAGAGATTACTGGACTGGATTGGGGAAAATAAAAGAACAAAATCTAGCTATAATTTATTGATAAGAGACAAACCTTAAATGTAAATACAGAGATATGTTAAAAGTAAAGGATGGAAAGGGATACACCAAGCAAACAGAAAACATAAGAGAACTGGTACAGCTTTATCAATATTGAACAAAACAGACTTAGAGACAAAGAGCATTACCAGAGATAGAGACATTTCATAATGATAATAGGGTCAATTAATCAGTAAGATATAATAATCCTACATGTGTATGTGCGTAATAACAGAGTTTTAAAATATGAGGCAAAAATTGTTAGAATAAATGGGAAATACAGTAGTTTCCAACATATTTGAGTTACAACCAACTGCACTTACAACCATCAGTGTATCTGGAACACTGCATCTTCCTAGGAGGAAGTTATGGGAAAACGCATGCAGGGGATATGGAAAAAATTACTGAGTTATGTAAACGTGCTCCAAGCATTTGATCAGGATAATATGATGGAAGAGATCAGTAGAAAAATAGTCCATGTGGCAAGAACGCTGAGTTTAGAACTTGATATCGTCGATGTGGAACAGCTTGTAGATCACAAAGAAGGGGAATTGACAGATCAGGACTCAATGGATTTTAAAGAGGAAAGAAATGCTGAAGAAAGAAATAATGAGGAAGAGGAGAAAGAGAAGTTGTCAAAAAATTTTACAGTGAAAGGATTAGCTGGAGTTCCTTCTAAACTATATCATGGGCTTCAGTTGCTTGAAAATATGGACCCAAATGCTAATTACTTTGCTAAAGTCAATAGTCAGATTTGGGAAGCAGTGAGATGTTACTGTGAAACATATGAAGAAAAAAAGAAAAGGATCATACAGACAACTCTCACTAATTTTCTGACTAGAGATGACATTCCCATTCCCATGGATAATTCAGATGATTCAGAATCTTCTACAAGTGGAGTTACTACAGCAAATGACAAAATGCCAATGTCATCCAACGCTTCTTCATTGTCAGAGTAAATTTTTATGATTTGTGTATTTTTTAATGTATGTATTAAAATATATGTGTAAGTTTATACGTAATGTTTCCAACCCCCAAAGACAAATAAAGATTGGATTTATAAAGATATTGATAATAAAAGACAATAATAATCAAACCTAAAAAAAAAAAAAGAGGTATTCTACTTACATCAGAACCAACTTAAAATGGAACAGAGCCCCGTTATAAGTCGGGGACTACCTGTAAACAAATCCTCAATCATAATTGGCAATTTTAACAGCCATCTCTCAATAACTGATAGAAAAAATAAACAAAATAATCAATAAGAACTTAACTATCTGAAAAGCACTATGGAACTCTTTGGTCTAATTTACATGAATAGAACACCACATCCAACAACTTCAGAATATATGTTCTTTCAAGTGCGTTTGGAAATATCTTCAAAATAGATTATATCCTAGGTCATAAAATATGTAAAAATTTCAAAAGACTGAAATCTTGCCGAGTGTATTCTCTAAAAACATAGACTTAATTAGAAATAAATAATTAAAAGATATCTTAATAAGCTCAAATATCTGGAAAATAAGGAACACACTCTAAATAACCCATGAGTCAAAGAAGTCACAACGGAAATTAGCAAATATTTCAAACTAAACTATAATGAAAATACAACATATCAAAATTGGTGGGTTGCAGGTGAAAGTACTTAGATGAAAATCTGTAGCTTTAAATGTTTATATTAAAAAAGAATACCAGCAACCTAAATTTTTACCTTTAGAAGCTAGAAAAAGTAAAGCAAATAAAATCCAAAGTAGAAGGAAGGAAATATAAGATAACATAAGAGAAGATAATAAAGATAAGAGCAAAAATCAACAAAATAGAAAGCGGGGAGGGGGGGAAGAATATTAACAAAGCCAAACATTGGTTCTTTTAAAGAAAAAAGAAAATATATATTACTTAAAGTATTGAAAGAGGGGATATCAATACTGGCACTACAGGCATTAAAAAGATGAGGGAATATCATAAACAACTTGTGCAAATAAATCTGAAAATCTGATGAAATGGACAAATATCCTGAAAGACACAAATTACCAAAACTGACATAAAAGGAAATCAAAAATCTAAATAGCCTTTTATCTATTAAAGAGACAGAATTCATTATGAAAACCTTCCTACAAAGAAAACTCCTAGACCAGATGGCTTCACTGATTAATTTATCAAATATTTAGGGAATAAATAATAAATTACACAAAATCTTACAGAGAATAAAAGAGCAGGGAGCACTTCTCTTCTCGTTTTATGAGTCTTGTTTTATAACCCTGACATCAAAACTTGAGACATACATTATAAGAAAACCACCAGCCAATGTTTTCATGAACCTAGACATAAAAATCCTTAACAAAATATTAGCAAATCAAACCCAGTAATATACAGAAAAGGATAATACATCATGGCCAAGTGGGGCTTATGTCAGGAATGCAAGGTTGGTTTAACATTTGAAAATTTAATCAATGAATTTCACCATATCAACAGACTAAAAAAGAAATATGATCTGATCATCTCAATAAATGTAGAAAAAAAGACTGAACTCATTGTGAATATGGTTCTGGCCCTCTAGCTGCCATTAAATAGCTGTGTGATCTTGGGCAGGTCACTTAACCTCTCTGCACTTTAATATTTTCATCGTAAAATGAGATACAAGAACTAGGCCTTCTGCCTTCAAGTGCATCAAAATCATCTAAGCAGTTTTTTAAAAATGCAGATGCCCAAGTCTCAATTCCAGAAATCTTTATTCAACTGGGGATGGGACCAAGGCATGGTCTTAAATTCCCCAAATGATTCACTGGCACAATGAAATTCCCAGCACTAATATTCAGTTAGTGAAGGCTACTCCTTTACTATTACATTTTATGAAACAGATTTACCCACTCATCTAGTAGCACCACTCTAAGTACCTGTGCTTACGTTTAAAATATAAGAGATCTAAAGGGAAGGAGATTCTTGAAAAATGTGTGTGTGTGTGTATTTTCTCACTCAACTACCTCATACTTCATTTACTCCATATAGGTCTACCACAATTGGGCTTCCAATAAACTCCTTCTCCTCAACTCCACTCTAAAACTAACACATAAATATGGGTTCTTATCCAAATGAACATCCTACCTTACACAAATGGAAAGTTTATACTTAGAAGCACTGTTTTTATTGCTCAGCAGGTTAAAGACACTCTGATAAGGCTGGCTGATGATGTGTCAGTTGTAAACTGCCAACATGAAAAGAAAGTAATCTTTCTTATTTTTTCTTTTTTCACTTTTCCTTTTCAGGTGATGGGGTGGCAGACATTTTACGTCTGAATTCATAAAGTTAGTTTATGCAGGTTGCTTCAGGGCAAAAATAATGCAGCAGATCCCAAGATTTTGGTTTATTCTAAACTTAGGAGATTGATGTTTGTCCAGCAGGGAGAACCTGCTAAGGGGCAAGGCATATCCCATTGTTTATGTATCTTGAACAACTAGGTTGATGACCTTAGTTTGTTAAAACATGATGATGACATTGTCCAAACAGGCTCAACCACATTATTGGTTAATTAGATTTTTGCTAAGAAAAAAATGCTCCTGTTGGACCACGTTGATCAAGGAACATAGCCACCACTCCAGGGTCAACAGTGTTACCCTCAAATAGCAAAAATGGCACGTTTTAAAGCTTTGCAACTTTCTTACACGGGAAGATTTCTTCAGCCCATGGTGGAACCTAGAATGCAGCCACCAAGATTTCTACCAGCAGCACAGAGCGTTAATTACCTTGAGATTTTAACTTTCTCTCCCAATACTTCAAAGTTACACTTTCCCCTTTACCGTCTCTCTTACAACTGCCAGTAAAGTAGACCCAAGGAGTCCAGCTCCAGCAGAGAGGAAACTGACGGCAGTTTTGAGGTTGGTGTTTGCAAAATTGAATAAGCATGTAATTGCTGTGCTCTTTCCCTTTTTGGGATGATCCACCTTCAGGAGGCTGTCAAACCTGAATCCCAGTTATTTCATCAGATGCCTGGAGCATGGAGTCATAAAGCTTCTCATTACTAAATCTTTGTTTTTCTTCTAAACTCTAATACACAAGGGACTACTGACTCATAAAGATGTCCCAGGTTGTGAAAGAAAGAGAGAAGCCAATTTTCTAAATACATAAATAAAAATGTAACCTGAACTCTTGCCTTAGTATATACAAATTTCAATTAGTTAAGCTTTAATGTCCTTTCCAAGTTTGTTCCCAAGTGGCTCTGGTAAAGAAAGGTACAAGAATACAAAAAAGAAAAAAAAGACTGGGCAATTAATTGTTTTTTTTAGCTGAAATATTTCTTTAACTTATTACTGGGCTCAGGAAAACTCAAAATTCAGCTGTCTTGGTACTGAATTAAGTAAAGAGTCTTACCTTCTCGCCGATCATTTCTAAGAACCCGCACTTTCTCAATTTTTCCCAAGAGAGCCCCGTCCTCAGCTAGGCAAAGAAAAGAAACAGTATTTTGAGCATCAAGTTTTAACAAAGGTGCTTTGCATTCAAGCACAGTAATTCTTGATTATTTAAGGACTGACTGTCTCATTAGGGGCATTCCAGAAGCACCTACTCTTTCTGTGGCCCCGATTTTTGGCCTTGTCACCATTCATTTGTACCCACAGGTGACAAAGGTTGGCAGCAAGAAGGGCCAAACCTGAGAGAGATAACATACTTACGATCATTGCTGTAGTCATCCACCAAGATGATCTCTTTTATGAGGTGGGGAGGGCTTTTCTTAAGCACACTGAGAAGACAAAAAGAAAAAAGTTGTTAGGCTTTTGTGAGTATAACTTGGGGTAGAAGTTCTTATGCCTCTGACCCCAGTCCTTGCCAGAAAAGCCATCAGTACTTCCTTGTCCTGATCAGTTGGTTAGCCCTGTCTATACACACCCACTGACAGCCTCGCTCTGACTGCGCCTGGACCCACAGCCCCGTGCCCAGCATCCCTCAGGTAGTGCCTCCAGTAGCTGCACAGTTGGGCAAAGAGTGGCATCTCCTGGCCTCACCTGACCACTGTCCTCAGCAAGGCTGATCTGGCTTCATTGTGAAATGTGATCACCACGCTGGTGGCAGGGAGGCCCACTCGCCACTGCTTCCGCTGACACCTGAAGGAAGAGAAAAGCCATATTCAGAATAATGGGCCCAGAGAGCTGCCACAAGACCCTTCAGCGGATGAGCAGATCAGCCTGTTAAAATGGACAGTCTGTGATTAACTCATTATTTGCAAAAGTCACTGGCCTTTCTGAGATAAAAGTACCAAGGGGACATAAAAATCAAAAACCAAACCCATTGCTGTTGAGTCGATTTCGACTCATAGCAACCCTACAAGACAGAGCAGAACTGCCCCATAGGGTTTCCAAGGAGCAGCTGGTGGATTTGAACTGCTGACCGTTTGGTTAGCTGCAGTAGCTCTTAATTACTGTGCCACCAGAGCTCCAAGGGTACCTAAGGAAACAGAAAAATGCAATTGGAGCTACATTCTAAAAGATGAAACATTTCTGCAAAAAGTAACATATTGTGAATATGTTTCTAACACATTAAGAAAAAGAAGTGTTTTAAAACAGTGAAGTCCCATTTATACCCATGTGCAGATACACCTCGATAGATGTGCTTTTTATAATTTACAGTGGTTACTTCTAAGTGGTGGAAGCAACTGTGTGTTGCTGCTTTCTCTCTGACTGCCTGTTTTCTAACCTGTCTACCACAAGTGTGTAGTATTTACATGCTTTTTGGGGACCTGGCTCTCACCAAGAACACCAGCACCAGTGCCCACACTCCCTTATCCCAGGCAGCAAGGTTGTCTTTCCCTCACTCTGCCAGGCCATCTCCAAATTTCATAAATGAAGGTGTGCAGGCTGAAGTGGGAGGTGAGGGTATGGACCAAAGTCCTCTCTCTGTTGACTCTGAATAATATTGAAAAGAACCCTGGCGTTACCTCTGAGTAAGGCTGACTTAGAGACTCGGCCTACAGAGTATGGGAAGACTACAACAGGGAACTTCTGAAGCTTGGTCTCCACAGACAAACAAGACTGGATGGGCAGCGAATGGCTGTATTTTAAATTAGGACTCTGATAGCTATAGGTTGAAGATGCTGGAGTATTATACAGTAGAGACAACCAGTAAAGGTAGAATTGGGCTTAGCAGACTCCGTTACCAGAGCCTCTTCCTAGTCACCCAGGTCAATGGCCTTTAGCAGGGCCAATGCACTTTAAGAACACTGACCAGTATATAGGTGATAATGCCAGAGAATCCTGAGAGAATAATACACCTTTTGAGGATCGCTGGAAACAGTCAAATTATGGTTTGAGTGCATTTAAAGAGTTACAAAGTTGGTGATGCTACCAATACCCATTTGGAAAAGAAGCTGGGGTGGACCGCGAAAATATCTTTGACCTCAGGGACATCATTTCTGAACTGTCATGCTTAATACCAGTGGCTGGGAGGATGAAGAAGCCTGTTTGTATCAATAAGAGGGACCTGCTGGTCTCCACCACGTGGAGGGTCCCTGTGTGCCAGCACTCTCATCTGCGAGTACTGCCCGCCACTCTAGAGCTGACACACTGCCAATGGTTTCCAAGAGACCACCGCATTTTTTTAATTGTTGTGATTAAATGAAGTTTACATTTTAAGTTAGTCTCCCATACAAAATTTTTATACATACATTGTTATGAGATCCTAATTGCTCACCCCATTCTGCAACAGCACATTCCTCCTTTCTGCCCCTAATTTCCCATGACCATTCAACCAGCTCCTAACTCTCTCTGCCTTCTCATCTCACCTCTGGACAGAAGCTGCCCCTTTGGTCTCTTGTATCTACTTGACTAAGAGGCACACTCTTCACGAGTATCACTTTATGTCCCACAGTCCAGTCCAATCCCTGTTTGAAGAGTTGGCCTCGGAAACTGTTTTAGTTCTGGGCTGATAGAGTCCAGGGGCCATGCTTTTTGGGGCACCTCCAGTCTCAGTCAGACCATTAAATCTGGTCTTCTTACTAGAATTTGAGTTCTGCACCCCATCCTTCTACTGCTCCATCAGGGACTCTCTGTTGTGTTCCCCGTCAGGACATTCATTGGTGGTGGCCGGGCACCATCTAGTTCTTCTGGTCTCAGGCTGATGAAGTCTCTGGTTTATGTGGCCCTTTCTGTCTCTCGGCCTAATACTTTCCTTGTGTCTTTGGTGTTCTTCGTTCTCCTTTACTCCAAGTAGTTAGGACCAACTGATGCATCTTAGATGGCCACTTGCAAGCTTTTAAGACCCCAGACGCCACTCACCAAAGCAGGATGCAGAACATTTTCTTAATAAGCTTTGTTATGCCAATTGACCTTGATGTCCCCTGAAAGCATGGTCCCCAGTTCCCCTACCCTTGCTACTCTGTTTCTCAAAGTATTTGATTGTATTCAGGAAACTTCTTAGCTTTGGTTTAGTCCAGTTGGGCTGACTTCCTCTGTAGTGTGTGCTGTCCTTCCCTTCGCCTAAGATGATTCTTATCTACCATTTAGTTAGTGAATAACCCTCACCCTCCCTCCCCACCCCCAAAACCATCAAAGAATGTTTTCTTCTGTGTTTAAACCTTTTCTTGAGTTCTTATAATAGCATCTTATACAGTATTTGTCCTTCTGTGACTGACTAAATTCACTCAGAATAGTAAGTTCCAGCTTCCACCATGTTATATGATGTTTCACAGCTTCATCGCTGTTCATTGTAGTGTAGTATTCCATTGTGTGGATATACCATAGTTTGTTTATCCATTCGTCCACTGATGGGCACCTAGGTTGCTTCCATCTTTTTGCTATTGTGAAACAGTGCTGCAATGAACATGGGTGTGCATGTATCTATTCGTGTGACGGCTCGTTTCTCTAGGATATATTCCAAGGAGCGGGATAGCTGGATCGTATGGCACTTCTATTTCTAGCTTTTTAAGGAAGCGCCAAATTGATTTCCAAAGTGGTTGTAACATTTTACATTTCCACCAACAGTGTATGTAAGTGTTCCAGTCTCTCCACAACCTCTCCAGCATCTATTATTTTGTTTTTTGGATTAATGCTAGCCTTGTTGGGGTGAGATATCTCATTATAGTTTTGATCTGCATTTCTCTAATGGCTAATGATTGTGAGCATTTCTTCATATGTCTGTTAGCTGCCTAAATATCTTCTCTGTTGAAGTGCCTGTTCATATCCTTTGCCCATTGTTTAATTGGGTTATTTATCTTTTTGTTGTTGAGGTTTTGCAGTATCTTGTAGATTTTAG